TTATCAAGAACTGAAATACCATAATAAAGATTCTTTAGAGCTAAATGTTTTTTTCTTACAAATTCCAATTTTCCTTGAATTTGCCTCTCTGTTTTAGAGGTCAATGTAAACTGTATATTATTTCCACGCAGACCCTTGCTCACAAAATTATACAATATGGATATATTTCTGTAACTTGGGATGACACACGTGTTCAAAATGAATGACTCAACGGAGTCTAACAGACAGCTCTCTTCGAGTGTCCATGGTCCGGGCTGCAAATCAGATCCCTCCTCCTCCAGGATAGCTGCTGTTCGCCGCCTCTTCAATGATGGTGGTGTAGAAGTTATTCTCTTCTTTTTCTCTGCCTTACAATCGTCTGTGCTGTGAGTAACCCTTATTCCATATCTATTTTCACAGTTGAAACATGAACAGAGGATAGAGCAAGGTTTACCATTGGAGTAGCAGGGACATTTTGTTCGCCTCTGACCACTTACATCTATGCAAGAGGTTTGACCTGTTTTCCGTCCTTTAGCCCTGCTTTCTCCACACCGGCATGACAGTTTTTGGGGATTCTGACTACGATTGTCGCAGTTGCGGCACTTGCACTGAGCTTGGCACTTTTTTTTGTTACAGGGTATACAGTATTACTAGGGTAAACATGGGTACACAGGAGATATAGAGGTATACATGGTATACAGTATGGCTAAGGTAAACATGGGTACTCAAAATATGTAAGGGTATACAGGGTATACAGGGTAAACAGTACTATTACTGTATAGGGGTATACAGGGTATACAGGGTATACAGGGTATACAGGGTAAACCGTACTATTACTGTAAACATGGGTGCACAAGGTATATAGGGGTATGCAGGGTATACAGTACTACTAGGGTAAACATGGGTACACAAGATATATAGGGGTATACAGGGTATACAGTATTACTAGGGTAAACATGGGTACACAAGGTATATAGGGGTATATAGGGTATACAGTATTATTAGGGTAAACATGGGTACACAAGGTATATGGGGGTATGCAGGGTATACAGTACTATTAGGGTAAACATGGGTGCACAAGGTATATAGGGGTATACAGGGTATACAGTACTATTAGGGTAAACATGGGTACACAAGATATATAGGGGTATACAGGGTATACAGTATTACTAGGGAAAACATGGGTACACAAGATATAAAGGAGTATAGAGGGTATACAGTACTATTAAGGTAAACATGGGTGCACAAGGTATATAGGGGTATGCAGGGTATACAGTACTACTAGAGTGAACATGGGTACACAAGATATATAGGGGTATACAGGGTATACAGTACTATTAGGGTAAACATGGGTGCACAAGGTATATAGGGGTATGCAGGGTATACAGTATTACTAGGGTAAACGTGGGTGCACAAGGTATATAGGGGTATACAGGGTATACAGTACTATTAGGGTAAACATGGGTACACAAGATATATAGGGGTATACAGGGTATACAGTATTACTAGGGTAAACATGGGTACACAAGGTATATAGGGGTATACAGGGTATACAGTACTATTAGGGTAAACATGGGTACACAAGATATATAGGGGTATACAGGGTATACAGTATTACTAGGGTAAACATGGGTACACAAGGTATATAGGGGTATACAGGGTATACAGTACTATTAGGGTAAACATGGGTGCACAAGATATATAGGGGTATGCAGGGTATACAGTACTACTAGGGTAAACATGGGTGCACAAGGTATATAGGGGTATGCAGGGTATACAGTACTACTAGAGTAAACATGGGTACACAAGATATATAAGGGTATACAGGGTATACAGTATTACTTGGGTAAACATGAGTACACAGGATATATAGGGGTATACAAGGTATACAGTATTACTAGGGTATTCATGGGTACACAGGGGTATACAGGGTATACAGTATTTTTAGGGAAAACATGGGTACACAAGATATAAAGGGGTATAGAGGGTATACAGTACTATTAGGGTAGACATGGGTGCACAAGGTATATAGGGGTATGCAGGGTATACAGTACTACTAGAGTGAACATGGGTACACAAGATATATAGGGGTATACAGGGTATACAGTACTATTAGGGTAAACATGGGTGCACAAGGTATATAGGGGTATGCAGGGTATACAGTATTACCAGGGTAAACGTGGGTGCACAAGGTATATAGGGGTATACAGGGTATACAGTACTATTAGGGTAAACATGGGTACACAAGATATATAGGGGTATTCAGGGTATACAGTATTACTAGGGTAAACATGGGTATACTAAGGGTAAACATACAGGGTATACAGTACTATTAGGGTAAACATACAAGGTATATATAGGGTATACAGGGTATACAGTACTATTAGGGGTAAACATGGGTACACACAAGATATATAGGGGTATACAGGGTATACAGTATTACTAGGAAAACATGGGTACACAAGATATAAAGGAGTATAGAGGGTATACAGTACTATAAGGTAAACATGGGTGCACAAGGTATATAGGGGTATGCAGGGTATACAGTACTACTAGAGTGAACATGGGCACAAGATATATAGGGGTATACAGGGTATACAGTACTATTAGGGTAAACATGGGTGCACAAGGTATATAGGGGCATGCAGGGTATACAGTATTACTAGGGTAAACGTGGGTGCACAAGGTATATAGGGGTATACAGGGTATACAGTATTATTAGGGTAAATATGGGTACACAAGATATATAGGGTATACAGGGTATACAGTATTACTAGGGTAAACATGGGCACAAATAAGGTAGTATAGGGGTATACAGGGTATACAGTACTATTAGGGTAAACATGGGCACACAAGATATATAGGGGTATACAGGGTATACAGTATTACTAGGGTAAACATGGGTGCACAAGGTATATAGGGGTATACAGGGTATACAGTACTATTAGGTAAACATGGGTGCACAAGATATATAGGGGTATGCAGGGTATACAGTACTACTAGGGTAAACATGGGCACAAGGTATAGGGGTATGCAGGGTATACAGTACTACTAGAGTAAACATGGGTACACAAGATATATAAGGGTATACAGGGTATACAGTATTACTTGGGTAAACATGAGTACACAGGATATATAGGGGTATACAAGGTATACAGTATTACTAGGGTATTCATGGGTACACAGGGGTATACAGGGTATACAGTATTTTTAGGGAAAACATGGGTACACAAGATATAAAGGGGTATAGAGGTAGACATATACAGTACTATTAGGTATACAGGTATACAGTACTAAAACATGGGTGCACAAGATATATAGGGGTATACAGGGTATACAGTACTACTAGAGTAAACATGGGTACACAAGATATATAGGGGTATACAGGGTATACAGTACTATTAGGGTAAACATGGGTGCACAAGGTATATAGGGTATGCAGGGTATACAGTATTACTAGGGTAAACATGGGTGCACAAGGTATATAGGGGTATACAGGGTATACAGTACTACTAGGGTAAACATGGGTACACAAAGTATATAGGGGTATACAGGGTATACAGTATTACTAGGGTAAACATGGGTACACAAGGTATATAGGGGTATACAGGGTATACAGTACTATTAGGGTAAACATGGGTGCACAAGGTATATAGGGGTATACAGGGTATACAGTATTATTAGGGTAAACATGGCACACAAGATATATAGGGGTATACAGGTATACAGTATTACTATTACTAGGAAAACATGGGTACACAAGGTATAAAGGCATATTAGGGTAAACAGTACTATTAGGGTAAACATGGGTACACAAGATATATAGGGGTATACAGGGTATACAGTACTACTAGGGTAAACATGGGTACACAAGATATATAGGGTATACAGGGTATACAGTACTATTAGGGTAAACATGGGTGCACAAGATATATAGGGGTATACAGGGTATACAGTATTACTAGGGGTAAACATGGGTGCACAAGGTATATAGGGTAAATATGGGTAAATATATAGGGGTATACAGGGTATACAGTATTATTAGGGTAAACATGGGTAACAAGGTATAAGATAGTACTATTAGGGGTAAACATGGGCACACAAGATACAGGGTATACAGGGTATACAGTATTACAGGGTAAACATGGCACACACACAAGGTATATAGGGGTATACAGGGTATACAGTACTATTAGGGTAAACATGGGTGCACAAGATATATAGGGGTATGCAGGGTATACAGTACTACTAGGGTAAACATGGGTGCACAAGGTATATAGGGGTATGCAGGGTATACAGTACTACTAGAGTAAACATGGGTACACAAGATATATAAGGGTATACAGGGTATACAGTATTAATTGGGTAAACATGAGTACACAGGATATATAGGGTATACAAGGTATACAGTATTACTAGGGTATTCATGGGTACACAGGGGTATACAGGGTATACAGTATTTTTAGGGAAAACATGGGTACACAAGATATAAAGGGGTATAGAGGGTATACAGTACTATTAGGGTAGACATGGGTGCACAAGGTATATAGGGGTATGCAGGGTATACAGTACTACTAGAGTGAACATGGGTACACAAGGTATATAGGGGTATACAGGGTATACAGTACTATTAGGGTAAACATGGGTGCACAAGGTATATAGGGGTATGCAGGGTATACAGTATTACCAGGGTAAACGTGGGTGCACAAGGTATATAGGGGTATACAGGGTATACAGTACTATTAGGGTAAACATGGGTACACAAGATATATAGGGGTATATACAGGGTATACAGTATTACTTGCTAAGGGTAAACATGGGTACGCAAGGTATATAGGGGTATACAGGGTATACAGTATTACTAGGGTAAACATGGGTACACAAGGTATATAGGGGTATACAGGGTATACAGTACTATTAGGGTAAACATGGGTGCACAAGGTATATAGGGGTATGCAGGGTATACAGTATTACTAGGGTAAACGTGGGTGCACAAGGTATATAGGGGTATACAGGGTATACAGTATTACAAGGGTAAACATGGGTACACAAGGTATACAGGGGTATGCAGGGTGTACATGTATTACTAGGGTAAACGTGGGTGCACAAGGTATATAGGGGTATACAGGGTATACAGTACTATTAGGGTAAACATGGGTGCACAAGATATATAGGGGTATGCAGGGTATACAGTACTACTAGGGTAAACATGGGTGCACAAGGTATATAGGGGTATGCAGGGTATACAGTACTACTAGAGTAAACATGGGTACACAAGATATATAAGGGCATACAGGGTATACAGTATTACTTGGGTAAACATGAGTACACAGGATATATAGGGGGCATACAAGGTATACAGTATTACTAGGGTATTCATGGGTACACATATATACAGGGTATACAGTATTTTTATGGGGAAAACATGGGCACACAAGATATAAAGGGGCATAGAGGGTATACAGTACTATTAGGGTAGACATGGGTGCACAAGGTATATAGGGGTATGCAGGGTATACAGTACTACTAGAGTGAACATGGGTACACAAGATATATAGGGGCATACAGGGTATACAGTACTATTAGGGTAAACATGGGTGCACAAGGTATATAGGGGTATGCAGGGTATACAGTATTACCAGGGTAAACGGGGCAATAAGGTATATAGGGGTATACAGGGTATACAGTACTATTAGGGTAAACATGGGTACACAAGATATATAGGGGTATATACAGGGTATACAGTATTACTAGCTAAGGGTAAACATGGGTACACAAGGTATATAGGGGTATACAGGGTATACAGTATTACTAGGGTAAACATGGGTACACAAGGTATATAGGGGTATACAGGGTATACAGTACTATTAGGGTAAACATGGGTGCACAAGGTATATAGGGGTATGCAGGGTATACAGTATTACTAGGGTAAACGTGGGTGCACAAGGTATATAGGGGTATACAGGGTATACAGTATTACAAGGGTAAACATGGGTACACAAGGTATACAGGGGTATGCAGGGTGTACATGTATTACTAGGGTAAACGTGGGTGCACAAGGTATATAGGGGTATACAGGGTATACAGTACTATTAGGGTAAACATGGGTACACAAGATATATAGGGGTATTCAGGGTATACAGTATTACTAGGGTAAACATGGGTACACAAGGTATATAGGGGTATGCAGGGTATACAGTACTATTAGGGTAAACATGGGTGCACAAGGTATATAGGGGTATGCAGGGTATACAGTATTACTAGGGTAAACGTGGGTGCACAAGGTATATAGGGGTATACAGGGTATACAGTACTATTAGGGTAAACATGGGTACACAAGATATATAGGGGTATTCAGGGTATACAGTATTACTAGGGTAAACATGGGTACACAAGGTATATAGGGGTATACAGGGTATACAGTACTATTAGGGTAAACATGGGTGCACAAGGTATATAGGGGTATGCAGGGTATACAGTATTACTAGGGTAAACGTGGGTGCACAAGGTATATAGGGGTATACAGGGTATACAGTACTATTAGGGTAAACATGGGTGCACAAGGTATATAGGGGTATGCAGGGTATACAGTATTACTAGGGTAAACGTGGGTGCACAAGGTATATAGGGGTATACAGGGTATACAGTATATTTACGGTAAACATGGGTACACAAGATATATAGGGGTATACGGGGTATACGGTATTACTAGGGTAAACGTGGGTGCACAAGGTATATAGGGTTATACAGGGTATACAGTACTATTAGGGTAAACATGGGTACACTAGATATATAGGGGTATACAGGGTATACAGTATTACTAGGGTAAACATGGGTACACAAGGTATATAGGGGTATACAGGGTATACAGTACTATTAGGGTAAACATGGGTGCACAAGGTATAGAGGGGTATGCAGGGTATACAGTATTACTTGGGTAAACGTGGGTGCACAAGGTATATTGGGATATACAGGGTATACAGTATTTTTAGGGTAAACATGGGTACACAAGATATATAGGGGTATACAGGGTATACAGTATTACTAGGGTAAACGTGGGTGCACAAGGTATATAGGGATATACAGGGTATACAGTATTTTTAGGGTAAACATGGGTACACAAGATATATAGGGGTATACAGTGTATACAGTATTACTAGGGTAAACGTGGGTGCACAAGGTATATAGGCGTATACAGGGTATACAGTATTTTTAGGGTAAACATGGATACACAAGGTATATAGGGGTATACAGGGTATACAGTATTACAAGGGTAAACATGGGTACACAGGATATATAGGGGTATACAATATTGCACTAATATATTAGGGAGTCTATATGGAGACTGCCATGAATTACTTGCCGCTACACAGCCGTTTTAGTGGGGAGGAGCGTTGCGTGACGACTCTAAAAGCGGCTGTGTAGCAGACTACTTGAACAGGGGCCGCGAGGAATCGGTAGGTAATGATGACGTTTCTATTATTTGTGCCGGCAAATAGGAAATGGCTAGAATGACGTAAAAGACAGAAAATCCCGAAGGGACCGCTTAGGTAGATTTTGTGACATTTATTGTGCAGTCAAACTTCGTTACGTGTTATCAGTGACATTCTGTGGAGCAGTTGTTTTGAAAGTGATGGACCAAAAGGCACTCGTTAAGCGCAGATGAAGTTATAAGGTGCGTACTTTGTATGTATAAACACTTGTTTGCCAGACACGAGTTCACAAATCTTTGATTGGAAACCTTGCTAGACACTATTTCTCTCTCTTTGACCGGACTAAGACTCAGCCCCAAACAACCAAGACGAGTGAGCAACAGCTAGCTTACCACTAGAAGAACGATAGACGATTACAGAAATTCACCGACAATCAAATTCTGTGCTGACTTATTCCCTGCTCACAGATGTCCTTCCGCTATAAAGTTTAAAATAAGACTAGAATGCGAGAGCATGAATTGATCACGCGTCCTTTTCATTTCTAAGGCTTACTTTCCGGCAAATAAAATGAGCTGAATGTAAAAAGTGGAAGTGAAATAGCGAAAAATTCAACTTCTCATTAAATCTTTTCTTATGGTTTAGAATAAACTATTCTCAAAACTGAGAATGTTTTGATCAAAGCTGTGTAAATCGAACTGAAACTGTACATGGAACCTTGTGTTTCCTGTATTTATCTCACCCATTGTATGGAATATGTGTGAAAATCTTCATTATGAATCGGTATATTTCAAAGAGCAACAATACACTTGACCGACAATAAAAAACAGAGCAGGGGCAGCTGTAGTGTCAACTATTACTAGTACTTACTATTGTAGTATCTAATGTATTGGGATCAAAGTTTGGTAGGTTAAAAACTTCGGACATCTTTATGAGGTGAGAGTAAAAGCGATGTTTACCCCCAGGGTGTGGAATGTGCTTGACTCATTCATTCATGAGCTTAAGCAACGACGATGGCGACGGCTACGAAAACGTCACTTAAAAAGTGAATTTGGGCTTCCTCATTTTATCTTGATTAAGTCGTCAAATGGCAAATTTCTTTGGAGTTGAATTCTAAAGGATTGTATAAAAGTTCAGGAAAAGAAAAGCCAAATTGTTGTTTTGTGTTCCAGTCCTCGACAAAACGTGAAATTAGGCACTTTCACGTTGTGGTCGTGCAACGACCACTGAGAAATGTACAAAAAAGCGTGATGCAAGTGCAAAGTTGTTGTTTTGCCAATCTAAAACCATTGCTTTTTTACCGTTCTCGTTGCCGTCACCGTCGTCGTTGCTTAAGCTCCCTTTGCTGGTTTACAGCTGAAGTCACAGCGGCCATGTTGGTCAACAAAACAGTATTTCAACTAAACTTTATTTTTTCATGCAAATTCTGAGAACAACTAACCATGTCGAGTGGTTGCGGACCAAGAGTGGCAAGTGCAAGACACGTCTCATTCTCGTGGAAAATGTTAGGTTAGCCACGCGAGTGAAACTCTCTCAGCTCTCGCGCGCCCTTAAACTGCTTTCTTCAACCTGGATAGCTGAGTTTTACTCCAGCAGCCTTGGAGTGTTAGAACAGTGTATTCTAGTATTGTAGTGTATTCTATCTAACTCTTTGGGTTCCCTTTAGCCTTTTGGGCTTAGGGTATGCTGTCTTGAGTTTAAAAAAATTGACTGAGGGGTTATGATTGCAATGTCAGCAGGGAAAAAACTTTTTTTGCTTCACATTCTGATCCCCGGGCGTTCGTTGGACTTTGTTGCGCTAAGAAAAAGAACGATTTTTTTCAAATGTGTGTCTGGTATTACTTGATCGATAACCTCCCAATTTACAAATGTAATTAACCACAATAAATTCAACCGACGAAGCATATGTTCGGACTCGTTTCTTTAATTGCAAACTCAGACATGCCAGTAATTGGCTGCCCGAAAGAAATCAAGTTTTAATTTATGTAGTTTAGTCTGTTTGTTTCATTTCTGCAATATTACTCCTTTAATCCATTAGCAGCTTTGAGAAATTTAAAACAATGAAAAAGAATGGAACGACAAAAAGCTTCTTCTTCAGGCCTGCGGAGGAGACACTTCTTCCACGTAGATCCGGGACACTGAATGGAAGCCCGTGGCCGCGTTTCCACCCGTGTAGCTAGTGCCCACACACTTACCGACCCAGAATCCCACCCGAACAGTGCCCGTGCGTAGTTTCTCACAGATTCCTTCGATGTGACGTGGGCGATGTGGATTCCCTACAAAAGTGTGATTATTCCACACAATAAATATACCATCAATGACTGACGGAGCTGAGCACTCTGCACCATTAAAGGTGAAGTACCACCGACTGCAGCACCTGTGGCAGTTATAGACGCGGAAATCGCCATTCCAGAAGACACGCAAGGCTGTTTTGTCGGATGTTTTCTTAAAAATACATTCCTGTGGAGAAATTGAAAGCCGCTATTTTATTGCCTTATCATGATTTGTAGCGTTTTGCTTGCTAGTATAATTTGTTCGAGGATCCTCGTTTCTACACGACGTTAAGGCGGCCACGTTGTTCCAAGCCAATCTTGTGGAATTTGCAAACACTTCCCGCAAAGTAGGTGGAAAAGCTCTCTACTGATTTTTATTACCAATACGGCGCAAATAAACAAACAGTGGTAAGGAAAAAATGCGCATTACAACTTCTCAAAAATAATCTTTAATTAAAGTATTAAATTAATAATTAAAGTCTGAGTCAAAATAGTAAGACGTATTATGAAGCACAGGCGGATTAATAAACGCATTTGAAAATTCTTAACTTAAGGTAGAAAAAGGCTGGTTGCCCAAGATACATTAGTCGTAATGTATTGTAAAAATGATGGGTACGATCTTCAGCAGCCTTTTAATTACTAGGCTGTCCGTTTAGTTTAATTTCTTTTACTGGGCTGCCTGTGCGGCCCAGTCATAAATTGGGTTTTCGGTTGTCTTCGGCGAAAAACGGCCATCCGGGGGAGGGAATACGCGAGGGTTTGGTACCGAGAAACGATGTTCTCACAGATGGTTTCATATGATTTTCTCTTGCACGGAGCCTTGCACGGATAATTTTTTGTACCTCGTCTCCGCTCCCCCTGAAAAACCCACAAGGCGTTGCGAACCCGAAGAAGGCTATTTGCGTTGTTCGAAGCGATTCGATCATAGGAGTCACTCAGGCGGTGTTCGTCACGACCCACAAAGGTTCATGGATAAAGCTGTTACTGTGCCTCACTTCAATCGTGACACGGTCGAGTTCGCATCTCGTAAGAGAAATGAATCAAATCCAGGGATCAAAACACTGCCGCCTTTTCCG